TTTTCATTGGGAACAGATGAGATGCCATAACCTAAGTTCGTGTTGGAATTGAAAACTTTAGCCACAGCAGTGTAGTGGTAGACAAGTCACCAAGATCAATAGTTCTGTAAGTCTTCAACATTTGATGCTAACCACATTACTTCTAATGGACTCACCTAGCTGAAAGCGCTCAGTCGCAAATCCGCACTAGATCACGAGTGGGTATGCCATGCTACTTATCCCATTCAAGTATTAGCCGGCTTAGACTGAACGTTCCTCCACATACCGATAGACTTCCAACTATATCTTCGAACCCCTTTATTTCCGTCTTCTGAGTTGACCGGGTTGACGTACTTCGGATATAAAGGTATTACGTGTACAGGCGTTGTCGTACTCCGAATACCTGTGGCATCTTTAGCAGCAATAGTGCTGAGGCCAAAGTCAGTTCCACTAAGATTTTTCTTGCTAGGCCATTAATTATTTATGACTGGGGCCTGAAATATGTTCGCGGTGTTAGAAAACCACTTACTAAGTAGTTCACAGATAGCATGTTGGTCATCATTGGCCACCATATTGTATAGCATGGAATAGTTGCTGTAGTTTTAGTTACTTTTTCAGCTGAGTTTTCACATTATTAAGCAAATAGCCTATTTATTGAAGTGCACCAAAATCTTTTGTTAGGAAACACCTACTTTTTTTGCAGGTTAGCCTTGGAGCTTTGTTGATGCATGGAGGTATTGGTTTAAGAGGCATTTTGATGAATACAGTAGTGTTTAATTCTGAATTCATGTGGCTATTAAATAAACCCAGTGATTCGTAAATTTATCACTACAGCGACGATATGCTTCTGGGAAATTGGTCACATGACATTTTTATGAGCATGATCAATAGTACACAATAAGCGTTTACAGATATCATGCAACCCCACCAGACTTATTGTAAAGCCATACCGAACAGTCAGAACGTTTTACAGCAGAATGTCCATGCAGATTTACTGGATAAGTATTTGTGTGACGTGACCTTTTAAGAAGTTTACAATTATTATAAAAAAGACTGAAAGATACGTGATATAGGCTGCAAACTTGGCAATCACATATTCTTAGGTTTGTGTTCCAGTAGCAAAAATAAGTTCCTTAGCTGTGTGCTACAAACGTGAAGCTTAAAAATGTGGAAAAAGAGCGGCAAGCAAACTGGATGTAAAACCTTGACAATGCTAGCTGTTTAGAGTAGAACCAACATAGGTATAGTAGATCACTAAATAAAACTCATGCCAGATGTAATTAATCTATAGTTTAATAGTCTATATATAAGGGAATGTAACGATAAAGACAATAAGTTGTGATGTGTGGAATGGGTCTGAATAATAGGGAAGTTGGAGTCAGAAGCAGGGGTGCTGTTCATTAAAATGGAAAGTCTGCTAGGAGAGAGTAGTGTCTAGAAATGATAACAACTTTGGTGTTTGTTACGATTAGTTTTATTGGTTATTCCTCTTTCTTCAGGTAACAACCGCCAATTCCTCAATTAAGGGTCTAAATTAGGGTTTTATAAGTTTTCAAAGTAAGGTGGACAAGCCAAAACAAAATCGGAATCGCAAATCTGAGTGGTCACAAGTGTAGTAGAACAATTGCAGTATCACTGACTGGTCACCTCAGCCATAAACAGCTTGAAACAACCATCATGTTCTGTTCCACAAATATGGGTGGATGGAAATAATCCTCCTTACATTAATGCATGGGGTTTAGCAAACCCTCACTTTCACCTTTTTTAATGTTAGGCTCTTTCAGGGTGGATGTTAAACAAAACATTATGTTCCACTCAAGACATTATTTCTCATATTCTGCTGGAAAACATACTTTCTACAAGTACCATGTGACAAGACTGTAAGACGGTTACAATTAATTGACTCTGAGTTGAAGACTGATGTTGTGCTGAAAAGTATTATGGTATAAGGCAAAGGTTTCTAAATTAAGTGTAAGGATTCAGTAAAGTATAATGACAGACAAAATTTATCATAGTGGACGAAAATGTGTAGTACTATCACATATATAATTTAGGCGATAAGTAACGAAATGAACTTGATGGCATATCAACAAAACTCACGAGAAAGCAGTAATTTAACTGAAAATATTGATGCTTGTAGTGTTTAATGCTATTCAAACTGGGTGATCGCTTACAGCGCATAACAACAAATTTGTTACGCCCAAGGGCTTAATTATGTTCTGAAATTCTTCATAGTCAGCTCGTATGTAATCTCTATCATGAAATTAAGTAACTGTGACCAAGCGTTTATTGAGATCTTGATGAAACGGTAATGTGTGAAGAATCGTTTTGCGATCTAGTGATAAACACGGCGTGATGCGATGACTGTTGAACCAAAAGTGTTTGAAGCCTTACATACAAGTCAGCCAAATGAAAGTGGATACTCTGAGGAAATCCCCAATGAGTTTAGCTCTCTTCGTCCTTTTTGAAAGAAAAACGATTTTAATTTCCTATAAGAAGACATGCGTTGAAGACATCATAAAGCGATAAACTTCCCTTTTTCAAGACAAACCGAGGAGTGCTTAGGGTCATCAGGGCCCACAGATAAGTACTTAAACCGAATTTAAATCGGATACCGATTAATGACGGCGCCAATCTTAGCATTTATTTTGTAAGGGAGTGCATCTAGCATAAATAAGGAGTACTCAGTTATGGTTTGTGCCATATGTCATTTTTGGGTACCGAGTAAACCACTGGGATAACAGAAGAGCATCGATAGTATTCGAATCTACAATATTTCATAAAAACAAAATAGACAAGGGAGTCCTCAACAGAGAAGCCATTATATTATCCCATTACATTATCCTATTATATTATAAATAGGAAAAAACCGGAAAACCATGTTATGGTGGATCGTCTTTGAGATCTGATATGGATACAAAATATGCCCCGCACTTACCTTCCAACTGACTATTTGATCGAGAAGACAAGCCTGGAGGAAGAGGTCTGTCGAGCTACCGAATAATATACATAAACACACACTCACATATACACATTTCGACACTTAAGAAGGGGGATTCAATTTATAGGCCTAATATGTAGTCAATTTTAAGGTTATATAAGATTGGCGTTAGGGATTCTTCTTAACTGGTCACATCTGATTGGCTGATGATATCACTGAGTGATATTCTTACATTTGTTTCAGTTTCCAAAGTTGGAGAGGATTAATCCTCATCAACCATTTATTACACGAACCGAATGAACTTATGGATAAACTAAATTTTTACATTTTTTTACCACCTAAAGCAACGTGGATGATTACGTCAACAGGATATGGAAAACAAATAGTTGGTATATAGATGGATGATCTTACAAATCGGACAGAGTTTTCAAAATTCACCTGATATCTTGCTTTTGGCGAGTGAAGTACTGTCATACGGTTAAGGAAAATGAAAAGACACAAAAAGTTTGAAAATGTTTATTTTATTGTCAAAGTGAACGACATGGAATTATTTCTTCTAGGATTTAGTATAACACTATCCTCCAATTCGGTAGGATAGAATTCCTTTTTTAGGATACTCGTGCTAACTAACTATACATATACCTTGAGAATGACACTTGTGAATAGTTTTCTTTGTATTCGTGTAAAACTAGTGTACTCTGAAATCATGGATAGCCGTTTCACTCTATGTTGAGACTGTTCAGTAGCTTCAGCTTTAAACATGCTCTTTGAGTCAGACCTAGGATCAAAACCCCACTCTTTGTGTTACGATTTCACAATCGAAGTCAAATCAGTAGTAACGTACGATATCAAAAATTGCTGCATCTAGAATGAACAGTCAGTAGTTTTTCCTGGCCATTTCGTAATTTCTGCAGTAAAAATAGGCTCATGATAGAGTCTGTCCTATTTAATTGATAGCGACCGAATTAATGACACTGAAATTCAGTAGATTTTCTCAGTTGTCTTCCTGTTGAGCTCCGTTGTCAGAGTCCCACGGTCTGTTTGGGGTCAGCCTGTGTGCATTGCATACACGTTATCAATCTGCTTTTTGACTCATTTTCATATTCACCTGGCCTAGCGCGAGGAATCATCCGAGTTTTATGACCGGTCAAAGTGTTTGACGTGCCGCATTGGACAATGCATGATTGGGAGTATCCCACCATCTCGTGATAGATCCGAAGGGTTGATAAGGCTGTTTGCCCATTGATGTAAAACTAATTCAGTTGCTAAGTTGAATGCATTTACAGCAACACCAAGGGATTGAAGATGCCACAAGTATTTGTAGTTTGACAACACTTTAACGAGTAACACCTTCTATGACTGAAACGTTCCCACCCAGTGAACCCAAAAGTCAGAATCGAGGAGGTTTGAAGATGTATTTGACAGGTTATCTATATATCGAGAAGTGACTGATCTAAACTGGCTAGCGGTTGCAGGACAAGTTGAGCATGTCGTTCGCACTAGTGATCGGGTGTGGATGCGTGACCGAGCGCCTTCAGCTAGGTGAGTCTATTAAGACTAAAGTGATCAGCATCAAATGTCGAAGACTTACAGACCTACTGATTCTGGAGATTTAATTACCGTTACAGGGTGTGTATGTGTAATAATGTGTGGCCATGGCTAATTTTGAGACTCTTTCACCACAACAAATGATTTCTTCTTATTGTCATCCAGTTGCATCCACTTTGCGTTTTTGTGAAGTTGGTCTGTTACGGGTCTCTCAAGAAATGCCGTCTTCGCACTACTCCTGTATATTCAGTTTTCTTACCGAAACCAAAATGTTTGCCTTCCCATAACCTTATAACTGCTGATCACAGCAACGTTAGTGTTCTGGAGTAAATAGATATTTACTCGAATTACTGTCGAATTCACAATGATTTATCCAGTCGAGTGTCTATTCTACCTTTAATGGACGCTAGCTAAAACTCAGACCCTTCCATAGTACTAAAAGTAGGCGTACATAACCATCTGGTTTGCACAAGTACCCGACGTAGCCACTGAATGATTAAAGCGTTTGATGTCATCCCGTCGCAATGGTATTGCATACTCTGTGCGCGTGTTACGACTCGAGCGGTACGTCGCTGGGATGTCTTGGTCGACGATACCTCCGCATCTTCGTACTCGACTTATTTCACATGGACAAAAAGTTTGTGAGCTTTACAAAGCAGCGCTTTACGATCTCAAAGCGAAAAATCGTGACGTGTAATCTTGTGATTCTTTTTACTTGCTGTTTGGTAGTTTGAAGTATCGCTATCATGCTGTTTTAATGCGAGCACGTTTTGAAGAAAACAGAAACATTAAGGATGCAGTTTTGGCGAGGAAAATGCTGGAAGATGGATGGGCTGAACTAAAACAGATTGAGGCTCCTTATCCGTACAAATGTAATTACTAACTTCTTATCTCCTTATAAACCTAGATCCTGATGCACCAGGAGGTGCTGCTTACGGAAGGGAAACTGTTTTTAATGACTCTGTGAGTATTTTTCATTGTTGTTTGCCACATAATTTATTGCAAATGTTTAAATTTCGAATTTCTGCTTGCCCTTTCGTTTTACTCAAGATGTGTTTCTGTCTGTAAACATAGCTACCGTAAAAAGCTTGTTGCTTCTATATTTCAAACGTTCATTACATCACCTTCGTTAAGATTCGGCAAAAGCCGTGCATCATTTTAGTGTGTCAGCTTCCTGATAATCATGGAAAAACGAGCTAGGTTGATGGCAAAAACGGTAACCATGGTTGTTCAAAGGCTGTAAGCAAAGAAAAGAAATTATTTAGAAAGCTAAGGCAGTAATATAGATATTTAGTAACTTAAGTAAATGTAGACTCCTCCATACGACCGACCTTAAACTATATATATATAGCTTTCATTTGGTTGCTATATCTTTATATCCTAAAACATACGATAACCTAATGGCTAGGGCGCTCCATTTTTAGATTCCAGCTCCCGGGTTCGAATCTCCTACTTTACCTTCGGCTCAGACCTACAAGTAATATCATTAACCCTCATTTAGGATGTTTCGTACACAAGTACCTAATGAATGGGTTAAATTGCCATTATTTCTTAGAGCTTAAGAGGTTCATTAGATTTTCCCAGTTGTCTTCCTGTTGATCCCCGTTATCAGAGTCTCCCGGTCTGTTTTGGGTTAGCCTGCGTGCATTGTATACACCTTGTCAATCTGCTTTTTGGCTCATTTTCATATTCAGCTGGTCTAGTGCGAGCTGGGTTAATTAGTCGCTTAGCCACAGAAACATACTGTTTTATTCCCAATTTAGTAGTAGGAGCGCTTAACTTTCGTTTTCGGAGCCACAATTGCCACTGTTGTCAAACCAAATTATCCTGTTTAGGGAGCTTTGCTCACACGAAGAGTAGTTACTAAAATATGTACTGTATACAATCGTGACCAGTGGTTATCCACTTATAAGTGGCTTCAATATTAACCCCATCATTTATGTAACGATTTTTTTGCTTTTATGATGACGTGCGTATGTTTGTCATTTTGGAAGGTTAAAAAGATTTCTTTCGAGTCACTTTCAATCCGAACAGTAATCGATTCTTACAGAAACGTATTTGTGAAATTGATGTTTATCAAAGCACTTTTCATTTCCAATCTAGATAAACAAGACAAGTGTGTAGCAGGTTGCTGTACTGGAATCATAGTTGTTTCTCAACTCAACAATAGCACAAGAGCCATCAACTAATGTATTCAAATGACCTCCAAGAATACATAAAAATAAATATGTTCTTAAGAATTAGAGTAAGGTTGAGAAGGTGAATCAATGCCACCTTATTAAACTAAGTTGTGCCACACATGATTCACACTTTATGGTTTTTTCATCGTTACAATCTCACCCCAGGACGTTTTCACAGCGCTTAACCGACATTTCATGGACTGATCAAATTACTTTACATGGTCGCCTTTTTTGTTCTATAACCTGATCATTGATCAATGTGCCTTATTCATCGGCCATTCTCACCTGATATTATTATTGTTACTTGGGATGCTTCAACTACGTGGTTTAGTATTTTGAACCTCGTCTTTTCTGCCTTCAGTAATCGTTTCAGATGACCTACTTAATTACAAAAAAAGATGAGTTTAAAGTACTCTCCATTTGCCATTCAATAATATATCTCGTTAATCATTTTGGTTTCTGGATGATATGCGTGACTTCTATGCTCCTACCATGGTTTCAATGGGTGACAAAACTATTACGACTAATCTGCCCTTTTGGATAAGGAACCTTGTTAATACTCACTCCTTTCACTTCCGATTTTACTAAATGGAGTCTTGCTCCGTTGGTATTCATCTATGATCTAAATGTAAAATGTTCTATGATTGATCTGGGTTATCGTAGTTAGTGATGTAATTAAGCACTTTAACCAATTAATTTGTCTTGGGAGTTTCACTCATCACGATAAGTTGTTAGTTGAAAAAATCTCCACACGGATTCGAAAAAACCATTTGGTTTTTGTCTATTCATGTCACATATGGCGTAGGCATGACATTCCTTTGTCAGCCAATGTTCAAGTAAGCTTTTCATCAGTTTTCCCTATTGTAGTGTATGGCTAAAAAAATCTCCTATGTAAATAGAAGATAAAATTAAACCTCAATGATTTGATCTCAGGCCTCATCGGAACATTAACTATACTATATGTAACAACAGAATGATCAGTGCTGTGATTAAGCACAGGGTACCGGATAAAGACAGGCTGATAAGAATGCTAATTTCTGTCGACTGAGGTAAGCAAGACGTTTTTACGTATAAGCGGCTTAGGAGTGGATCGGGTAAAGTTACAGGCGGCTCAACTAAAATGTGATATCCATGGCACTGTTGACGGTTAGACTGAGCCATATTAGCTGGTGCAGATCACTGATTTATGGCCCGTGTTAGCAGGAGATTGATTGAGTTAAAGCGTGTTCCACGTGGGGTTATGTTTGAGCACGCTATTCGGCCCATTTCTAGCCAATCAGCACTAGAGAATAATCGTGTCTCAATTCTACATGGTACTAAAATTTTAACTGCACGCATTTATATTTGAATACAAACCACACTTGTATGTGTAGATTACTTGTTATTACCTGATTGTGTAAACCTTAGTAGGTTAATTTGGGTCCGAATCCCTTATGAAATCGAATTCGTAGACCTATAGTTCACAGCTCCACCTGCATGTGGATATGTATTATAGTTGATTGTTGCTTTTTGTTCTCTGGATTTTAAAAAAATATAAAAGATTCAAGCTTGAAATCAGGTTTATGCTAGTAGAGTTTGAGTCCCAATCGAGATGTAAAAATCACAAATATTCCACGCTTGCGGGAACTGAAGTGGGATGCATTGGTTCACGCCTATCAGATAATGGAGAGTGAGTACCTGACCCATTGGACTACCCTTTCATTTTATCGATACAGGTTGTGGAGTTATCAACATCTAAACGGTTTTTCTAAAAATCTTTTTTTGCTTAGATCAAGTGTCTTGTCGGATTTACCCTAAAATTTTTTGATAGACATACAAAGTATCTGGTTTCATGGATTTGTCACTTACCAAGTTACCGTCGATTTCTAATCTCTCTTTGACAGAACTATGACCTTTGGCATCCATTAGAAAAAAAGCAGTATCCTGACTTCTTTGCAAGACGGGAAAAGCGTAAAAAGGAATTTATCGAAGCCTGGGTCAAACGTTATGGTCCTGAAAATGAAAAAGTGTTTTAGTTGACTTTGTGAACAAGAAATTCTCGTAGATTTACTTTCAAGTGATTATATCAAATAAATTTCTTGAAACCCTCTTAGTACTTTTAAAATCAAGTTTGTTACCTGAAGTTTTACATATTGTCTATGAGTTAGGATGGATGATTTCTTGTATTTATCACTTAAGAATTCGAAATGTCATTTCATAGTAGTATAATCCTTTTGCTAAATGAGAGGTATTTTTCGAATGTGTACAAACCAAGGTTGTGATTAATAAGTTTGACAAGATAGTGCTCTTCATTCAATCTGTCTATAGTTTGCCGGTTATAAGTAACTTAGCGACTAGCTGTAAGTAAATCTGTTATTTAGTAGATAGTAAATAATATGGAGATGAAATATGATTTGCTTCGAAGCAACTTAAAAACATCACATTAAGATGCGCACATACTACGATAATTTTTTGGCAGGGAAAAAAGATATCTTGCAACTTTTTTTAGATTGAGGATTATCAAAGCTCGATAATGATATTAGAAGACGAAGATTATCAAAACTATGTGATATATTAGCGCAATACATTTCGAACAATCTGGTCATACATATACTTGTTAAGAGCATTTATATATAAAAATAAAAGGTCAACTAGACAGATTGTTCGAAATGTATTGCGCTAATATATCACATAGTTCTGATAATCTTCGTCTTCTAATATCATTATCGAAATTTATCAAAGGGACTAATTGTTTTAGATTATCAAAGCATTTGAATCCATATTGATATTCTATTGAAAAACGTTATGTGATCGTTATAGGAATGTAATTTTTGAGATCTATGACTAATTGTTACGTGCCACTCGTCTTCGAACTCAAACGCCTTATGCAACTACTGCAGAATTGTAAATTCAGAATTCTTTGTGCGAAAGATAATTGTAGGTATAATATGGATCTTCACATTGATTTGATTGGTGCGTAAATTCTTGTGATGGTAATTTATATAAGCTATTTTTTAAAGTCGTAGAGTACACAGAGGGCCGCTGCTAAATGTACGCGCACGTTGTTTTGGAGATGAACATCGGAACTGAGCCGCAAGTGATCCAAGTTGGGACAGACCGATACAATATTCAATAACATACGACGATTAAGCAATGATTGTGTAGTAAAAGGAGGGAAGAGTCTTTCCTCAAGAAAACAAATCTTACAAGAAAATTTCGCCATTCAGTTCTGTTGTTTATTGAGAAATATTTTATAGTCGATCAAAGGTCTTGTACCGGATTGACTTAAGTAGAGAATCCATTATTCAATATTAGTAGTTTAGATATATATAGGCACACTTAGTAGTTAAGAACAATAACAAATTATTCACATGGTTAGGGACCTCAGGTCATAGTGGGAAAATGTGAAGCAATTGCTTAGTAGTTGAAAGCCTGATCTTTCAAGCCTTAGGTTGCAGGCCCACATGTCTCCGGTTACTTATGATAAAGGTGTCAAAGCTAAGTACAAAAAACCAGTATATGAATCATTTTTCCTTACAGCAGGTAAAGTCTTTATTTCTAATCACTGGAGAGGGATCATAATAAATATCTAGCAGAAGAATCATGTATTTATTAAACAGAATAAACTAGACACTCAAAAAGCGTTCCCAGGTTTGTTAACATGTATCTCCGAATGTATTAACTGAAAACATCAGTGATGAAATGTATCACTTTTGTTCCGTTAATTGATTAAATTTGAATGGATGATAAAATGTACTTCACAGCAATATGTTAGGTGATATTCCAAGCATAAGACCAATATTTATTGTCGTTTTGGCGACGCTTAATGGTGTTAATATGTTTCAAAGTACTGTCGGTAACTCTTACATTACTTCTATGACTAGTGGTAACATTTCGTTTGTAGAATACTCCAGTATCTTAGTTCGGACGTTTATCAGTCAGTCAGTCAGTAACAACGTAGAACTTCGTACGTACGTACATCAGTCCGAGTTGCCACACCACATTAGCACAGAGATGCAGTTGTCGACTGAAATTCCGTAGTGGTAGAGGCGGTAAGAGTATAGGCAGTAATCGGAAAGATTAGGGTTTGAAGGTGTTATTTAAAGAGTATAATCCAGTGAGATAAATTTGGAAAGAGAAAAAAAGGGGACATGAAGAATTCAGAAGATTAGAATTTAGGAGAACACAAAGAGTGGATGCATCTGCGCCATTGCAAACGATTTTGAGCCATGTCATTCAAGGTATCTAACCATCGGTTGCTATCGTCTCGTGGATCCGAACCAGGTAGTCTACACGTAGCACAAAATGACGCAAGTTGGCAAAAGCTAGTCGAGCTTTCTGTATCTGTGCTGAGATTTCGTCACACACCAGACCACAAGGGCTGATTAGACTTCGAAGATAAGTGAAGCAATCGACATGCTCAACTACTTCACTCTCTATCATTAGTTCGGGTGTCGATGCAACCCAGTCCTGAAGCAACCTTTTGCATTTCGAGGGGGGAATTGCATCCCGAACATGCTTGGATAGTTTCTTAGAGTGGTCGGAAGACTGCATTTTGTCAGCATCTTCACCAAATAGTACCCGTAGCAGAACGTGAGACCAAATTGGTCACATTCGGACGTTTATAACCCATAATGGTTTCGTTGTTTCTTTGGGGAGATATTTTGGCATGCAGTCTTAAACTGTTGAATCTTTCTTACATCACTTTGAGATAGTTTGTTTTTATTGAAATATTTTACATATTTGATTGTTCCTTTTCCTTGGTATAATGGACAGTTCCTTAAAGCTAGTTTCTGTAGGCCCAACCACTCGTTGCTCATTTAGTTTTTTACTGAACGACATGGAATTATTTCTTCTAGGATTTAGTATAACACTATCCTCCAATTCGGTAGGATAGAATTCCTTTTTTAGGATACTCGTGCTAACTAACTATACATATACCTTGAGAATGACACTTGTGAATAGTTTTCTTTGTATTCGTGTAAAACTAGTGTACTCTGAAATCATGGATAGCCGTTTCACTCTATGTTGAGACTGTTCAGTAGCTTCAGCTTTAAACATGCTCTTTGAGTCAGACTTAGGATCAAAACCCCACTCTTTGTGTTACGATTTCACAATCGAAGTCAAATCAGTAGTAACGTACGATATCAAAAATTGCTGCATCTAGAATGAACAGTCAGTAGTTTTTCCTGGCCATTTCGTAATTTCTGCAGTAAAAATAGGCTCATGATAGAGTCTGTCCTATTTAATTGATAGCGACCGAATCAATGCCAGCAGAAATGGTAATATTCATAATTTGACGATATTTCTACGAACTAATACCCTCATTTCTAAATGTTATGTTTGGAGATGTGTTTTTGTTAACATTTCCAAACAAATGTAGAGATATCGGTTTCGCACAGCAACTAGGGTTTCATTTTCCCACAGACTAAATTTAATGTATGATGTAGGACTAAAAGAAATTACATTATTGATCAGGTTTTTACAAAATAGTACACTGTTTTCACCGTTCTGCTGGCATCCAGGAATTAAGATTTATAACTTCTAATATCTACGTAGTAGAGTAACTTTCGTTTAAAACCCTTTTATTGATGAATAAAAAGGGTCAAGGATATCGACATAAGAAAATGAAGTAATTTACATCCTACCAAAATAGAACTCTATAAGTGTCACATCTGACAATGTAGAACAACAAGTACACATACATATTGTGGTAGGAAATTATCAAGTAGCTATTAAGTGCAGAAAAATTAGACGGTGGAACCGAGTAAGCAAATAGTTGATAAGTACTTCGTTGATATGGATGTATATAATGGACCTTAAGTAATAAATTTTCTGTGTATCATCACAGTAACTTCTTAAAATACTTAATGTATGTCAGACTTTCGTGGTTTTTGGGAATAGTTTTCCATCTCAGCAATCTGTTATTTACCATCACATAGATAACATGTTCGCTAATAAGGAAGTTAATGAAATAGCTTGTCACAAGTAAATTTATTTTGAAATATGTATGATAATGTATTTTTTTAATTGGCACTTCAAAAGAACTCATGCAAAACAGTAGAAAACAAACACAGGATACTGATACATAAAATAGGACTAATCTGTCAGTTTATTCTCATTTTCTATCAAATATTTGCTTCATTCTGTTCGTCCAACTAGATTAGTTCACTTTGTTTTTATGTTAGTTTTATATATGTAAAAAGTTTTCAGTGATTTAAACGTAATAAACATGGTAGAAAAATGGATGGTTGATTAGTAAATGATAAGGTAATTTAGACTACCCAAATCATAGAGTTTGGATTCATGAGACTAGATGAGGCCCAACCTAATTGGTTTTGCTATATCATCGATTAGTTGTAAGGATCGGCTGATATAAATTTCCAACTCGATGCAATCAAATATTTGGTATGGTCCTCATTTCGTGACTGCTGCAATGTTTAGCATTTACCACCAGAAGTTCCGGAAATTCATCTAATATCTATCTCTCAACGAGCGAAGTACTACCTTTCGGTTAAGTGGTTCGTGAAGACACGAATAGTTTGAGAGTGTTAATTTTATTACTGGCTGATCTCAACTTAAACCTGTTAAGTCTATAGGGGTTCTGCTGATCACGTAAGCCTGGAGGTATTTGGTTGGACTCGGTATGAGATTCCTGGCACTTGAGTCGTTGAACTTGTAGAGGTAAATAAATCCCCAAAATAAATAGCTCTAAGTTTTTGACATTGGATGCTGACCATATGTTTTAGTGGACTCATCTAGCTGAAGGCGCTTGGTCATGCATCCGCACCAGACCACGTGTGGTAACGCTGTGCTCAACATCTACCGCAATCGCTAGCCAGATTAGATCAGAGAATTCCGATATATTGGTAATCGCCAAATACACTCTCCCGATCTCTTCGACTCTGTCTTTTGATTTCTCTTGGTGGGAACGAATTATATTAGAAGGTGTTACTGGTAAAAACGTTGGCAAACACTGAATACCTGTGTCATCATCACTGGTGAGATCGACGTGATCTGGTACACCTAGTTGCAACTGTGAGTCTGTTCCTTTTTGGGATTTTTATATATCATTGCCTTATTTTATATTTTTTTAAACATTGTCATTT